GGGGGGGGGGGGTCTGGGGTAAGCTATTTACATACATACGCAGTATACAGTGTAGTGTATGGGGGTAGAGGGGTCTAATTACCCCGCATCTACCGTTTGGTTGTATCCTTTTGCAACGATCAGTGAGAGAGTTAACGCGACTGTTATTCATTTTCCAATTGTCCAACGAATTTTGACGTAAAACTTTGTAAATATCTGAGACGTTCCGGAATCGTATATAAGCAGGATTGCTTTCTTCTCGAGTGATTTGTGGGTAAGTTCGTTGCAGTGCGCTAGGTCTGCCTTTTCCAAGCTCCCGGAGCAGCAGTCACATCGCATATCATGTCAGGTCAGCATCGATCTTATCGCAACAACCTACGGGCGCGTCATCGCATTCATGTCTTCAGGGCAAGGCGAGCCAATTGGGGGAGAAATCGATATCTCTTTGGCAAAAGAGTGATCGGTATTGACTTCATTTGAAGACAATTCATTGATGACTGACTAAGTAGTTCTAGGCCACGATTTCCACCGAGTCATTCCTGTCTTGATGCTCAATGAATTGCTTATCGAGACCATGCGTGCGAGGGGCCTGAGGGGATGTACTGCGTAATAAACCGAACTAAAGACCTGAGCGCCGAGAGACCCCCACCCTTGAATTAAACCCTAGACATACCCCCCCCCCCCCCTGAGCTGAAAGGGAATCCCCCGCACGCCCGCTCGCTCGACAAAAGAAGCATCCCAAAAAAAAGACAAGTCGCGACGTCACTGTTGTCGCTTGCTGGGATGATGCTCGCTGCGGGGGAGAGAACTGAACTGTGAAAACTGAACCGAAACTGCTTGCCTCGAGCCACTGTGAGGATGGCCAGACCATGGGTGCAGCGCCATATTCCCATATTCGCGCTGAACTTTCATCAGACTGCACTGCTTGCCCCATCCATTGGAATTGTACAAAGGTGGGAAAAGTCCTGCGATCTTGCATTTGCACTTGCGACGAGTCGGATGAGATCCGCATCTGTCAAGTGTTGGATGAGGCCGGCTGGCTGGCTGCGACCTGCAACCTGTCATTCCTTCTGTGTGCGACAGGACGGGCAGATTGAGTGGGTGGGAAGATTGGGGGAGCACCTCAGCCCGCGCATGGATGTGGAACTAAGCCAGCCGTTTGCCTCGGTCGGGACCCGATCCGATTGAGCTCGTGAAAGTCGCTTTTTGGAGGTTCATCTGGTACCTACCACAATGGGTATCAGATGCGCTTTACTTTCAGTGATCAGGTACCGCCGAGAAGCTTGGAGCGGTTCCTTGTGATGTGATGGTCCAAGGTTCCCGGGGAGGGATCCATTCCTATGTCCTGCCAAACATATCCATGTGTGTCTGTCAAGCATGGTCCTCGTTGGCTGCATGCCCGTTGCGTTGCGAGCTGTGATGAATACACCCCACTTTCGGCCGTGTGGTTAGGCGGGTGGTGGGTGTGGATGTTTTGGGTCTGATGTTAATGAAACGTACCTACATATGCTACTGTACATGTGAGCTTACTAGTAGTAGGTATAAGATCAATGACGACCCTGGTTTTTCTTCATCGAAGCTCTTTTTGTATTTCTCTCCTTTTACACTTTTCTTCTGAAATTGTCAAGTGCTGAACCAACTACTTGCATACTATATATCCATCTGTAAGTACTTACCACTATCACGATAATCACCGTTGGATCCGATGCTCTCGTGCTGGAGAAACCGCCCAGTTGTGCCGTGTCAACAAGCCAGCTACAATTCCGCGAAATCCGCGATTCAGAAATATAAAGAAGGTAACCCGTCGCTAACTATCATCTTCCCTCTCCCAGTCTTCCACAGCTCATCTTTTCCCCCAAAACAAACAACCAAACAAAACCATACAAAATGGCCGCTCCCGCGAACAAGACCATCGGAGACCTCTCCGGCAAGTGGGTTATGGTACGTTCTTTCTTTCCTCGCTGCCCTCTCTCTCTCTCACACATTCACCACTTTATCCAGTCTATCTATCTATCAGCACAACTCACTCACTCACCCGCTAACCACCCTTTCTCAAAAAAAACAGAACAAATCCCTCTCCTCCGACGTCGACCCGGGCCTCAAGCTCCAAAACATGAGCTACCTCACCCGCAAACTCATCACCTCCGTCACTCTCACCCTCGACATCAAGCAATTCTCCGCTCCGCCCTCTCCTCCCGCCGACGCCGACTCCGCGCCCGTCGTCATCCACATTGAGATCGACCAGACCGGCACCGGCGGCATGAAGGGCACTTCGGAAAAGCGGTGCCTCGACAACGTCTTTCGCGACCACAAGGACTGGCTGTTTGGGCACGTCAAGGGGCAGACGCGCTGGGTCAGCAGCGCTGAAGAAGTCGAGGACGCCTTTTTGAAGAGCGGCTGGCTCGAGGGCGAGGAGGAGAAGACGGGTCCCAATGGCGAGACGCACGTCTTGTCGTATGTGGAGAGTTATACGGATGGGTGGACGGCGACGCAGGTGTGGGGGTTCAAGACGATTGAGGGCGTGAGGAGGCATGTGCGGAATGTGGTGATCGCCAAGGGAAGCGAGAGGGTGGAGTTGCAGTTGGTGTATGATTACCTTTCTTGAGTACTCCAAGGGAGGGTAACAGTGGTCATTGAGGTGTGTATTGATACCTAGCTAGACGATTTGGGAAATTTTACGGATTTGGGCGCAATGTCTATTGAGTCTCGGGCTTTGAGCGTGGAGTGGTGATTGTTTTGGGGTGATTGATAGTGATGATCGTGTTGGTAATCGGCATGGAGGAGAAATTTGGGGAACTTGGCGGAGAACATCTTAAATCTGGTCCGGAAAAGACAGGTTTCTTTCGGCTTACCATCAATGCCAAGAAATCAAAAATGTGAAGTGAAGCAATAAACTCTACGTAGGCAGCGGTCTTTTGGCACATGTTATTGTTGTGAGTTGCGTGTTTGTGTTCACATTGGTGTGTCGAAGCAGCCCCAGTCTTGTGTCGAGACGTTCACATTGTTTACCCAGCGGAGCTCTGATGATTACTTGTATACTTCGAGTTGGCTTCTCCATTAGCGTGTGCCCGCCAAATACTCTCTTCTTCAGTGTGAAGCTCTGAGGGGATTCTCAGGCCCGACTGTATCTCCCCCCTAACAGCTTATGCGGCCATAACCATTGCTGGTTCCATGTTGAATGCTCCCGTGCCCGTCCCTTCCCTTGTAGCGATATGATAAGCTATCCATCCAAGCCTGAACGCCAATAACAAACCAAACAGAGTCTTTCCTCTAGGTTATCAGGGAACTAACGATTCTCTAAAAGAGCCGCAACTGCACACCTCCCCCTACTGTCGGGGGCTTTCGAGGCTGTGTCTGAGCCGCTGTGGTATTCCGATCCGCGACACTCCGACATCCGTCTTTTGTTCATTTCCGTCTTTAACACACATCCTCCCTCTTCAACATCCCCTTACGCAGGCCTCCTCTTGACAAACTCCTCCAAATCCGCCACCGTCGCCACACCCAGGACGAACCGCCTATTCTCATCCGTGATGACAGCAAAGTCCTGCTTCTGGCCCGCCGTGGCAACACCAGCGAAGAAGGCCTCGAGTTCCTCCAGGGGTGTCTCCATAGTGATGACCTGGTACTTGGCGGCGTCCTTGCGACGGAAGCGCATCATGGCGGTGCGCACCTCATCTTCGGGCTTGACCTCGCCGCGCTCGAGGCGGGCTTGCAACTGCGGAATGGAGATGTAGCCGAGCAGGGCGCGGGTCTGCGAGTCGACGATGGTCAGGTGGGTGTAGTCGCGCTCAAAGGCGGAGAGGAGGGCGAGCGAGATGGGGTCCGAGGGGTTGAGGGAGAGGGCGGCGGGAGGGTCGAGGTCTTCTACTGTGGCCTGGGAAAGAGGTTAGTCTTTTGACAGGGGTCAACTAAGTTGATTTTCTTTTGGATTTTGAGTGATGCGGTTGGCTCAACACCAAGTGGCATATTCACCATGGGAGACAGAATGCTTACCCCGCGATATCTGGAAGCCCATTTCGAGACAAAAGGCTGCTGAAGCTCGGGAATCGAGGGCGATCCTTCTGTGGTCATGGGCTGCGCCATGATATCAGTCATTGCGGTGGAATCGTGTTTAGGTTGGTAGGTAGTGTAGCCCAGGTCGGCAGTGCTCTGTGTCGTCGTCCGAGAAATTCCCGGGTTGTGATCGATCGTTGCTCAATTGACAAGTCTCGAGTCTGGTGAGCCAAAAGGATGCGCTGGAGAAGACAGCTAGAACCACTTCTTTGACCAATCAGACATCGTCATCAGAGTTAGTCAGGGCGTTTGGGTCCACCAGGGCCACTCGCTACAGGGCTGCTGTGGACAGTGACAAACAGTGGGTGCACCGGCACTTTCCGTAGGCTGGTCCTTCTTCCCCTCTGTCAAGAAAATAACTTTTCTCCTCTGCTCTTTGCTGGAGGTTACTGAAGGTACCTCTATGCTCTCTTCACTTCCTCCAAGTGCTGGAAATATATCTATTCTCTGACCCCTGCTTAGATCTCAGGAGCAATGATATTCTCCATCTCTCTTCAAACTCTCTTAGGTACAAAGCCCTATTGTATGACATTAATTCCATGTTAAAGCTAGGTACCACTATTACCTCATTTAGTCAGGTACCTCTAGTGTACCATGTAGCCCGCTGGACCAGCACGATAAAGTAGCGTAGCGTGTAGGACGAGATAAGGAAATGCCTAGTGGGCCTTCGATTGGCTGTGATGTCACACTGACCAACGACGTCACCAAAACAATCCGACCTGCCTCGAGCCTGCCTCCATTCAGAGATACCTCAACCATGTACCTTTCTCACAACTCCAACGCTGCCGCATGACTGGCCAGCTTCTTTCAAATGGATCACGATTGCCCGGTTTTGGACCTTGATGGCTCAGCTGCCATGATTGACGGACAGCCCAAGCAAGCAAGATATGAGATGGAAGGAGCTTGCCTTTCCCATCCGCGAGCCGGCCTACCCGGGACACACGGAGAATAACAACCACTCTCCAGCTTGACGGGTTTGGATTGTCATTGGATGTTCAGATCAGACCTTCTGCTATTTAACTGATTTGATTCCATCGATCCAACAAAGTCTTGCTGGACGTTTCCTATCTATCATTGTCGCACAGTACCTTCCATCATCTGTTTCATTTCTACGGTTCTCTTCAATCGTCGACATACCACGACTGGCACTAGGTCGCAAACGAATATTCGTTTCGAGAGTTGTAAGTGTTTGTCTTTGCTTCAGTTCCGACACTCGGGTTGGTCATCACTCCCCGTGTGTCACGTTGGTCACTACCTAGCTCTCGGCTGTCTCACAATGCTACCGTTGGGTTGTTCCTGTCAGCACTACGAATCCTTCTCGGAACCAGCCCCTCATTTGCCTCGCGAAGCTTTCCGAGTTGTCCTCGTTTGACTTTGGTGGCTGCTTTTCTAACATCTCTCCAGAAATATCCTCACCAGAACAATTCGTCAAAAAAACACCTAGAGCACATCTGTCACAATGCCGAGCGTATACCCAGGACTCGATATCCTCCAGAACACGTTTGGTAGTTCATACAAGCCCAAAACCAATGGCGCGACTCCTCTCCAGGCCCGCACCGATCTTTATCCCGCATACTCGATAGTCGACGATGCGAAGAGCAAGGCAAAGAAACTGAGCGCTGAAGCCGCTCACGAGTTTGACGTTGCCAGCCAAAAGGCCCAGGCCAAGACTGGACACATTGAGCTGTACTCCTCCCAATACTATGCCGCATGCACATTCGGTGGCTTGATGGCCTGTGTAAGTCTATAATACAGTGATATTGCCGCGCGTGCAAGAAAATGGCGGGACTAACTCGTTTTGTAGGGCATCACTCACACTGCGGTAACACCGTTGGATCTTGTCAAGACGAGACGCCAAATCGACTCGAAGCTGTACAAGGGCAACTTCCAAGCTTGGGGTCACATTCTCAGGCACGAAGGTGTTCGCGGCATCTACACCGGTTGGAGTCCGACCTTCTTCGGTTACTCGGCCCAGGGTGCGTTCAAGTATGGCTGGTATGAGTATTTCAAGAAAAAGTATTCGGACCTCGCTGGTCCCGAAAACGCGCACAAGTACAAGACAGCACTGTACCTGAGCGCGTCCGCCTCGGCAGAATTCTTGGCCGATATTGCGCTCTGCCCCTTCGAGGCCATCAAGGTCCGCATGCAGGGTACCATTCCGTCGCAGTACAAGGGCACCTTTGATGGCTTCAGCCAGATCACGGCCAAGGAAGGCTGGGGCGGTCTCTACAAGGGTCTCTACCCTCTCTGGGGTCGCCAAATCCCTTACACCATGATGAAGTTCGCTTCGTTCGAGACCATTGTTGAGATGATCTACAACCGTCTGCCCGGTGCCAAGAGCGACTACGGCAAGGCTGCCCAGACCGGAGTCTCCTTCGTTGCTGGTTATGCTGCCGGTATCCTCTGCGCCATTGTGTCTCACCCTGCCGATGTCATGGTCAGCAAGCTCAACGCCTACCGCAAGCCCGGTGAGGGAATGGGTGCCGTCACTTCGAGAATCTACAAGGACATTGGCTTCAAGGGTCTCTGGAATGGTCTGCCAGTGAGAATTGTCATGATTGGTACCCTTACCGGTCTGCAGTGGATGATTTATGACTACTTCAAGGTCTTCATGGGTCTCCCTACCACTGGTGGTGCCGCACCCCCTGCGGAGAAGCCCGCGCAGCACTCTTGAGCTGTCATAGAGAATGAGTGATGATGGTGGAACGGATCAGGGCATCTTTAATGTTGGAGTTTAGCCTGGAGTTACAGATGCGTCTTGTGTGTTTTATATCCTAGCAGTTGGTTAATGTGTTGTTGCGAAAAGCTGCCTTCCAAGCACCATGTTGCTCCTCAATATGTCAAGAGTGTTTGATGTATCTTTCTTATCCCGTCTTGGTTGCTGTCCTTTAAACTGGAAGGAACGTACATAGACTGGCTTATCGATCCCCGGCAAACTGAAACCCAGCTTACAAGGGAAGTCAGGAAAGGAACCAGCCGGTTTAAGCTCCCTCCTGCCCGTCGACAATCACAATGCCGCAATCATCAACTTCCACTGTCTCCTCTTTTCGTCCTCCTCTCGCTCTCTCAAGCTCTATCACACAACGTCCGTTGAGCATGCCCGGAAGCCTCTCATATCATGTCTCCAAAACACCAGCCCCCAACTCAGAATTAAACATCGAAGGTGCTAAAGCCTGAAGTATTAACTCAGGCAAAGCTAATACTGGTTGTTCCGCCGCCAGATGTGTGATTACCAACGACGAAATTCGACCCCGAGATGCTGCCATTGAACTGAGTTCCGCCGGTACCACCTCCTGTTCCTCCTCCACCCCATTGGGTCTCCTGTCGACCACCCAGATCTGAATCCGAAGACTGCATAGAATTGGTAACCATAGCAGGGGCAATATATCTCTCAATAACCGCCTTTGCTACCGACGCCGCCGTTGCGGCAGCATAGTTCTGCCATTCCTTGTTTTTGTGGCTATCGGCATAGTCACACGCGCTCTTGATAACAATGCACGGTAGCTCGTCCCAAACACCTGCTCCCTCTATCTCAAAAGCGATAACACCAGCTTCTGCAGCAATCTGATCACGCCGTTTGCCAGATCGGATGACAGCGTCTCCAGACCCAATCGCTCCGACGTGAAAATAGATGCTTTCCGGGCTTTCAGAGTCCGGATCATCTAGAGTTGACTGTATATGTTCTCTCGGTATCAAGCAGCTTATATCGCATCCAAGCTCCTCACAGGACAGCTTTAAAGACTCTCCACAGGCCGGATCCTCATCGCTCAGGCATCCTTCACATATCACGCACCCGCTCCCAGAACGATGCTTGTGTCGATACCATGGCTGGAAGAGCCGGTCATTGACTGCTCCTGGGTACTGATAGTTGGCGTGACTTCGTCGTCGGTTACGGCTAGCCTTTGTATTGGCCTTCCCCTGGAGATGTTTGAGGAAGATGCCAGCCCGTTGCTCGATTTGCTCTTGGACTCTTGATCCACCCAAGTTAGCCAGGATGTTGCGGATGGTCTTGTTAGGCCGTCCCAGATTATCATGGGCGGTGTCTTTGCGAGCGAAGCGATCGGCCAGAACTCTTCCAAGATCATACTGAACCACGATGTCGCTGATGATAACATCGCCGAGGGAGATCGTCGTCATCTCTGGTCCAGAACTCGTCGATGAGAAGGCATACGGCGTCGAATTCGCGTGCGAGCGCACATATTATGGCAACTTCGAAGTCGCTGCGCCCGATGGGACGGGTGAAGCCATCAGGCCGTTGACTCGACGATGTATCCATGGGCTGCTATTACTGCGCTGCTCTCTTTGCACAAAACATCGTGAGAACATTCACTGATAGAGCAAGCCTCGTTTTGGTTCAGTCGCTCTCAATGTACTGCGCATTCCTAAGCCTCATTCAAGTGTACGGGAAGACTGGCCAATTGTGCGGTTCCTAGGTGTGGTAAGCAAGTTGAGGCGCAAGCCTCAAGGCCCTTCTCAAGATACAATTGGCCACACAGCGCGGGGATAAATTCCGCTTCAACGAAAGCATGTGGTAACTCATCATGAATTGGGCTGCGGCTGTGTCTGGGGCGCTTAAGTACGGCAAGTCATGTGGCCTGGTTTTGATGCCTGATACACCTTGGAGAGCACGTCTTTCTCTCTCTCCATTTTGATATAAGAACGCATTTGCTACATCATCGGCGGTGCTACGCCCAATGTATACCGGACTTGCCCTACCCTTCAGGTATTATGTGAGCGGCGAGTTCCTCTCATGCCTTCTTTGTTCAGGTCTCGGATAACAAACTACCATGGCGAACACGATCTATAATGGCGCAATCAGCGGATAAAGCTTCGTGGTCGGAACTCAAGTCAGTCACGGCGGTACCATGAACATCCACTTTGCCAATAGGCCCGGTCCTGTCACTGCGATCAGCAAGCCCTATTCAGACATCCCCATCCTTCAGGGCCCGACTATATCGACCGCCCGATCATTACGGATTGGCTCCAGCAAAAGCTCAACAAATCCCCCAGTCGCGCTGCGCTTGTTGGACTTGGTGGTATCGGGTATGTGTGCATATTCTCAACCGTGTTATCGTCATAACTGTACCTTGAGTAGACCTTAACACGCTGACTGAAAGTTTGTAGCAAGTCTAAGCTCGCCATCCGCTACGCCGAACAAGTCTGCAAAGAATCACCGGATACATACATCTTTTGGGTTAATTCGGCCACCAAAGACACATTTGTTCAAGGATTTCGTCGTATCTCTGAGAAACTCGGCCTCCCTAATGAGTATGGTGTTGGCACCGATATGCTCAGGCAGGTGTTCAACTGGCTGCGTGATGGAGAGAATGGGCCGTGGGTTATGATCCTCGATAATGCGGACGATTACTTCGTGTTCAGGAATGAAAGAACCAACAGCGACGTACCTCCGGCCATAGACTCGGGGGTGCTTGATTCCTTCCTACCACAGACTGGTAACGGCAGAATCCTGATTACATCCCGCAGTCAAGACACAGCCAGGATACTAGCGCTTGGCCTTGACAACATTCGGGTGGTTCGAGAAATGGAAGAGGATCAGGCGAGATTACTTTTCAGCAGAAAGCTCGGTGATCTCGGCGAAAATGACGAAATTTCACGGAAGGTTGTTCTCGCCCTGAACTGCATTCCTCTTTGCATCTCCCAAGCGGCGGCATATATCCATAAGCTACGGCCTCGGATGACGTGTGCTAAGTACTTGGAGAAGTTCAATGGCAGGAACTTCGTTTTCCTCAGCAGTCGTGACAACAAGGGTCGATACAACCTTGATGCAAAAAAATGAGGAAGTGGAGATCAAGACCTGGAAGATCACTTTCAATCAAATACGCGACGAGCGGCAGTCCGCTGCTGACCTGTTGTCCTTGATGAGCTTCTTTCAGCCCCAGGGAATTCCGGAGTGGGTACTCCAGAAGCACTACAGCGAGATGGACAACGAGAACAGCAGCCTTGATATTGGTCATAATGGCGAGGACGAATTTGAGAATGATCTCATTCTACTACGCGACTACTCCCTTGTGACAGTGGCTCAAGACACAAAAGCGTTCCAGATGCACAGCCTTGTGCAATCTTTTACGCGAAGCTGGTTGGAAGCTTCGCATGAGGATCACAAATGGAGGCGCTGCTTTCGGCAACTGATGATCACAAATTATCCCAAAAATCGGCCAGAAAACTGGGGTGCTTGTGGTGAATTGACGCCACATGTTGAGCCCTTTGTGAATACAACTGCCTGTCAGCTGAAAGGTGTAGACGAAGCAATTCATTTTGTAGAGCTGCTTCGTAAAATCGGGGAGTATGTTGATGATATGGTTATGAACGAGATGGCGTTGAGGCTCGTCAACAAAGCCGAGCAACTGGCTGTGCAAAGACTAGGCCAACACCACGAACAGGTTTACAGAATTTCAACCACCAAAGCGAAGATATTGGTTTACAGCGGGTCCGTGGCTGCGGCGGAAGAAGCTGCCCTTCGAGCATACCGAGGCTTTACTAGCCTTCTCGGCTTGGACAATCCAGATACCCGTTATGCAAGAGAGATATATGCCTTGTCCCTGTCGACAGCAGGAAGACTAGATGAAGCGCAAGCTATATTTGTGGAAGTGCTGGAGTCCCAGAAGCGTGTCGCAGGTGCTGATGTTATGGGGTCAAGTCTTACCCTCCATGGGCTTGCGAGCATTGCTGGCAGAAAAGGCGATCATAAAGAAGCGGAGAGACTTTACCGACTGGCATACCAGTCCAACTGTAGTACACACGGCTTGACGTCTCCGCTCACAGTTGTCAGTTTGAATGGCATTGCAGTTGTTTTAGTGGAACAAGGAAGATGGGCAAAGGCGGAGCCTATCATCGATGAAGCGGTGGAGCGACTTCATAAAGTAATGGGTCCAGATCATCCGAATACACTTGAGGCTGGTATTCTTCAAGCTAGCAAGTTGGTCTATCAAAAGCGATTCAAGGAGGCCGAAGACCTACTATGCAGAGTATGGAAGGCCCGGAAGAGAGTACTCGGTCTGGAGCACCCTTCAACAATGAGGACTCTCAATGGGTATAGAGACATTCTGACACGTCAAGGTAGATGGGAAGAGGCCAAGGCAATAGGTCGGAAATGTTTGGAAGTGAAAATGGAAACTTTAGGTCCTGAGCACCCTGATACAATTGACAACTTGAAATGGGTTGGATATCTGGATATGAAAATTGGGAATTTCGAGGAAGCAGACGACGTTCTTCATCAAGTGTTGGAACTACAGAAGCGGGTACTAGGTCCAGAGCACCATAAGCTGCTTGACACCCTTAGTCATCTTGGATTCATTAGCAACTATCTACGACGCTTTGAAGATGCAGAAGGGTTCTTTCGTCAACACCGCCAGCTGGAGCAGCAGATTCGAGGCCCTACGCATCCTGACACGCTCACAATTCTTGAAAGGGTTTGGCTCTTGGTAAGAGGAATGCTCTCGGTATAAGAAGGCGGAGATCTTTCACCAAATCATTGAGTTGGAAAAAACAAGCATCGCCGCCCAGGAACGGAAAAGTGTTGGAAACCATGACTATGATTGTGAGGATTTTAAGAAATCAGGGCAAAGATGAGGAGGCAAGAAAGGTGGAAGACGAATGGAACATACAGGTAACTGTAGATGGGAAGGGGTTCAAGGATCTGTTGTCAGAAGGCACCTCGAGATCTGCTGATGAGCAGCGAAGCAACGATGGCGCTTCAGGCTCAGAGGAGGAATGGGTATAATGTGTCCGAGGATGATGATGCTGCATCTCTTGACGAATGGTTCGACGCTGTTCATATATGTTGGAGTAGGGGCTACAAGGAAGACGGAGTGGTTGGCGTTGCAAATTTTCTTTGTTATTGGTTAGTTTCTCGAAACAGAAGTCGAATTCCTGAACTATGAACAAGTTTGTTCTGTCTCCTCTGGTTTAAAAGTGCAGTATCTACGGTGTTGTCTCTACAGGTCGATGCCCGGTCTCGGAAAGGGAAAAGACACGATCTTACTTCTCCTGGTATTCATACAAAAGTGCCCAGATACCTAGGTACTTTTCAACACGCTTTGTTCGTCTCCCTCAATCGTTACCTAGGCGCGCCGGCGGGCAAATCGCACTTCCAACCCCTTTGTGAGAGACTGATGAGGAAAGACGGAACACTTTGGGTGCACTACAGTGTCGTGAAACCAGATCAACTCGATCAGTGACACTTGGTCCAAAAGAAAGTCGATCTATAACCACTACCATGGTTTGGCCACTTAGGATTACTCTGAAATTCCTAAAATTCGTTCTCATAATCTATCTGTCTGTTCTGCCCTTTCTATGTCATTGGTTCCTTCGTGACGCAAATCATCACGTTAGATGCGACGAGAGTTTCCGCTCAGCTGAGGTGTTACGTCACTAACAGTAGCACTGCAAATTGGGCAATATTCAAGCTAGACATCCATCTCACTCATTGACTTCTCACTTTGGACCGGAGTCACGACCTACCACGACCACCATGGTCACTCGGCGTTAATCATCCAGATATGCAGGGAATACAATTTTAAACATAATTTACTCGAATGGTGAGACGGTAAAGGGTGTGATGAAATGTAGTATCACTCCTTGCGAGCAATCATTGGAAAATAATCCCGACTTCTATCGTCTACCACACCATCATCTTCCCCCTTTCTTTTTCATCCTGTCCCTCCCTCTCCTCCACTTTGCACTCCAACATCCACTCAACTTCCACCAGCCAAAGAAACATACACGAAGTTATTGAGAACCCAGAGCTAATCCAATCCACGATAAGACCACATATTTACATCCACATCCCTTACATCCCCATTCCCACCATCAGCAATTATCATGATCAGACCTAACAATCACACTCCACTGATCCCTCATGTAAACAGCCCCCTTCAGATACCCCCCATTGTTATTAATATTCGCCGGCGTCCCAGTTGACTGTCCTTGAGAATAACATCTCTTCTGGACCTCCTGAGCCGCCCAGGCGATTTCGCCGTAAGAACTGAGTTCTTTTCCGACGCGTGGTGCCTGTTTATGTTGTGAGTAAGTAAGAAAGTAAGAACCCTTTTACCCAGTAGTACTAGTCTTTTGTGTTCCAGAAAAGGAAAATAAGGAGCC